TGATCGGAGGTGTCCCGAATCTGGGCTGAATCCGGGCTGCGACGTATTGGGTGTCGTTTATTTGCACATTTTGACCTGCCGAGGTCAAACGGGGTCACATATCGAAAAGCGGTTTTTAAGGAAAGTTATTACGGCCTATGGGCTACCCGATGATGTGCTTTGATTTGGAATTCGGTCAATCCATCTACTCGAAAACTGCTGTGCAAGTGTATTTTCGACATAGCCCACAAATGACCTTAGGTCATCGCATGACCTTGAGAGGTCAAATGAGTGTTGGGAAAGTAAGATTGGATGCTGGCGAGTCGATTGGTGCCATTTTTAGCGCTCTAGCTCTACTGGGTGGGCCACAATCTGCTGTGCAAATTTGGGCCACGTGACCTTTGCTGACCTCTGTAGGCCAAACGGCTGGGAGTGCCACCGAATGACTTGGACTGTGGATTGGGCATGTCATGGCCTACATTGTGTTCGAGTTTCAGCTTGATCGGAGGTGTCCCGAATCTGGGCTGAATCCGGGCTGCGACGTATTGGGTGTCGTTTATTTGCACATTTTGACCTGCCGAGGTCAAACGGGGTCACATATCGAAAAGCGGTTTTGAAGGAAAGTTACTACGGTCTATGGGCTACCCGATGATGTGCTTTGATTTGGAATTCGGTCAATCCATCTACTCGAAAACTGCTGTGCAAGTGTATTTTCGACATAGCCCACAAATGACCTTAGGTCATCGCATGACCTTGAGAGGTCAAATGAGTGTTGGGAAAGTAAGATTAGATGCTGGCGAGTCGATTGGTGACATTTTTAGCGCTCTAGCTCTACTGGGTGGGCCACAATCTGCTGTGCAAATTTGGGCCACGTGACCTTTGCTGACCTCTGTAGGTCAAACGGCTGGGAGTGCCACCGAATGACTTGGACTGTGGATTGGGCATGTCATGGCCTACATTGTGTGCGAGTTTCAGCTTGATCGGAGGTGTCCCGAATCTGGGCTGAATCCGGGCTGAATCTGGGCTGAATATGGGCTGTCTTGACGGACATCAAAAAATGATGTCGCTGTTCCTTGTGATCAGGCGGTTCGAATGATATTCTATATGATGTTTTTTGATTAAGTTTAACTTAATCTATTTCTTTAGGTTCACTTAATTTTTAAGAAAAATTTAAGTTCACTTAAGTTGTTAACAAAGTACAGCATTCGATGCGCACGGATGTCCTGAGCTCACTGGTGCTTTTATTTGTGGTCTTCTTTTACTAGGTAAAAAGTTAGAGGCGAAAAAACCTTTGACATGTTTTAGTGAAATTTTTGCACTTATACCCCCAAAACCCCTCTAAATATTGACTTAGAGCCACCAAATTTTCTGGAGGGTGAGGTCTCCTATGTGTTCACCTACCTTGCAAATTTGGTGTTTCTAAGTGCCATAGGAGCCAATCGCCAAGGGGGAATCGTACCCCCCTCGCCGTCCGTGTTATGGAAAAGGCCCTCGCCTGGCGAGGGTTAAAGGGCACGCATTCACAGCACAACAAAAAATGCGACACCCACGTCACAAACATGAACGCTAATGCACATCAGATATCTGACCTACCGTACATCGTTGTTCAGAATCTATTTGTGGACCTTGGAACGCGAGCCGCATGTCACACACACGCGCACGCTCCATAAATATAAAAACGTGCCTATCGTATCTACTCAGCGGCAGGGATCGCGCATTGTTGCTGTCCTCGGTGCCGGCCTGTATCGGACCATACGTTGGCGTCAGTCGTGCGGCGCGCGGCCACGTGACGGCAGGCGGCGGGGCGGGGCATGTTTGACCGGCCGACGCCTGAATGATTGATGTGGCGGCCGCGGTCACGGCGCTGCTGGCGGGCCGACTCCCACCTGGCACCGACCGACCCCCCCCCCCCCCCCCCACCCGCCCCTGATGGAGGAGGCCGGCCAGCGCGCTGATTGATTCCGAGCTCTCTCCGAGCGGAAAGGACAGACTACAGAGCTCAGTCTGTGGGAACTTCTCATACCGCATAGGTTAGTAAATGCCGTAAAGTCAAAAACAGTTTTAACCCGGCAGTTGCTGGGGTATTTCGCCACCCACCGTTTGCTGGGGGGGGGGGGGCGTTAAACGCCCCCAGCCGATAACTCGAGAACCAATAGGCGCAGCGAAACGCACGAGGCGGCAAACGAAAGAACGCGACGAGACGCTTCAGATGAGTACTTTACAGTTGAATTTTAAGGTCACAGGTCGGGTCAAGGTCAGGTCAAACACCTGAAATCGGGCTTTCAGTAGCATGGACTTCAGGACTTCGCAGTGGGCGCCTCTCGTCATAAACTCTGTCAAAACGGTGCACAATCCATCATATAAGGCCTAAAAGAGTGTCAGCTCCATGTAGGGGTCAGTCAAGCATAGGTCAGGGTCAAGGTCAGGTCAACCGGGTAGGCAAATATCCCCGAAAAGCAAAACTGATATTCGCAGCCTGTGACACATGTGTAGGGGTTTCACGCATCGGAACCTGCAACCTTTTATTGGTTCCCCCCCCATGTACAGACATTACGTTAACCAAAGTTACTCTACAATGCCCGCCTGCCACCCGGGTGTATTAAACTGAGCGGCCCGTATGATTGTTCGTTCACGTTCACCGTGTATCAGCCCGGCATCTGCCTTTACCCCATTGAAAGATTTCGCTCACATTCCGAACTCTATGTATTTTAGATTTGCGGGATAAAATGATCACTCCTCAACTTCCATCGCTCACGCACACAGCACACATCACACTTTCAACCGCTCACTCATTTAGCCCACGCGCCGCGCCGATGAATATAATTTAGACGGGACTGTCCTGGATATAAACGGGAGTGCCCACCGCTATTTGCGGCGGGTCGGAAAGCCAAATGAAATCCAGGACATTTGTCGGGGACTTCCGCAGCGCCTGGGCGCTGCGGCGTTAATTTAGGGGGGATGGAAAAGATCGCTTACCGAAAGATGTTGCCCCGACGACACCGCACTGGCAAATGCCCCGAGAGACGGGCCCGCGAGTCCCAGGTGCCGGCCAGCCGCTGCCTTTCACCCGGCGGGCACGCCTTTCCCGCCGGAGGCAAACATACGGCGGACTGGCCTAACGCGCACTCTGGTTCTCCGGCCCGCCGCTCCACACACTCTCTGACGCGCTCAATTTTGCCCTTACATAATAATTCTCCCTCCCACGGACGGTGAAAAAGGGTCCCCTTACTCCCCCGGGTGAGAACCTTTCCACTATCTCATTCGCGCTTGACAATCATTATACCTACAGGCTACACAACACATGCGACATACATTCTAAAGACATCCTACATACATTCTACAGACATCTTACATACCTACATTCTACAGACACCCGCCCCACGCCTTACATGCACAGTCGCCCTGCCCACGCTCCCGCTCATCGCCCCATTGTTCATTCCGCCTGCCACCCTCCTGCCAAGCCCTTCTCCTGCTACTCGCATTTTTCGCAGCACCGATCCGTTGCCAGCTCTTCCTTCCCACGCTCGCTCGTATCGCCTCGCTCTTCTGGCCCTCGACCCCTCGCCATGAACTGGTCCTTGGTTGGAGGTCGCCTGGACTGGTAGCACACGCGCGCGATGCTCAGCCGGTAGCGCACGCTACCGCCCATAGCCGGTGTTCGCGGACGGTGGACACCTTGGTGGGCGGCCGCCTCCCTGGGCGACCGCACTCTATCTCAGCACCACCGCCGCAATCCGGGGCTTCTTGGGCGGCAGTCGGTGCCCCCGCTTGTAGGGTGCGTGCTCGCGCGCCGCTAGGTGTCGTTGCGACCGTCTCCTTCTGCCAAGCCCGCCTCAGAGTTGGACGGCTCCCGCCAGGCGTCCCGGGGTCGCGCCACCAGGTGGCGGTGGCGGCGGCGACGGCGGCGGTTCATGTGCCCGGGTGGTGCGCCGTGCCCGCCGCCTGTCACGCTGCCGCCAGCTGGGTACGCCACCGGTGGAGGGCGTCGACCCCCGGGAGCTGTCATGTGGCGCCTCTGCACGGCCGGCACCTGAAGCTGCCGCCCGACCATATGCTGCCGCGGATACCCGGGCCGCTAGTTGGCTGGATCGGGCGGCTGTCGACAGGTGGTTCGGCTGTATCCCAGCCCGTGCAAAGCCGGCGGGGCCGTCAGGTCGGCCGGCCCGGCCGCCGTCACACACTGTACCGCCGCGGCCATTGGCACCGCGGTTTCCAGTGGGGCGGCCGCAGGCTGCTGACCGGCGCGTGGTGAGACGGGCCGAGCTCCGCCGCCCGCCGTACTGCCGGGGGCTGGACGGGACGGCTGGCGGATAGCCCGGCCTGATGGCCGTATGAGCGCCGCCGCTCCCGTCCTGCCGCGGGCGTTATCGTCGCTGGAGGCGGGCGGGCGGAGGTCCATGGGCGAGTGCCGCCGCCCCGAGCTGGCGCGGCAGTAGTGGCCGCGGGGATCGGCGCGGGGCAGCGGGCATTTTGCGCAGCGAGATGGGCGGTAGAGCGTCGTCCCTCCCGCCACGGCTCTTGAATGCTGCGCGCGGCGGGGTGGGCAGCCAAGCGCAGCCGCCCGTACCGCCGCGGCTCCTGTGCGCCGCGGCTTCCGGGCAGCCGCGCAGACGGCTGGAGCGGCGGGGTTGGCAGCCAAGCGCAGCCGCCCGTACCGCCGCGGCTCTTGTGTGCCGCGGCTTCCGGGCAGCCGCGCAGACGGCTGGAGCGGCGGGGTGGGCAGCCAAGCGCAGCCGCCCGTTCCGCCGCGGCTCTTGTGCGCCGCGGCTTCCGGGCAGCCGGGCAGACGGCTGGAGCGGCGGGGTGGGCAGCCAAGCGCAGCCGCCCGTTCCGCCGCGGCTCTTGTGCGCCGCGGCTTCCGGGCAGCCGGGCAGACGGCTGGAGCGGCGGAGCGGCGACCGAGCGCAGCCGCCCGTACTGCCGCAGCTCTTGAACGCCGCGGGGTCCGGGCAGCTGGGCAGACGGCTGGAACGGCGGGGCGGCGACCGAGCGCAACCGCCCCCGACTTGCCACGCACTTGCCGTCGCGGGGAGCGGCGGAGTGGCTGATGGCCCGCGCGGCGAGCTGGACAGCGGAGCACCACCACCCGGTCGTACCGCCGAGGTCAGCTGTTCGCCGGTGGCTCCATGCTGGCGGCTGGGCGCTGGCGAATTGGGCGACGTGGCTGTGGGCGGGCACTGGGCAGGGTCCTCCCCTCCCCTCATCATTCCGCCCTTACGATACACATACATACACAATACACATACATCGCGGCATACACACACATACATCGCGGCACTCAGCAGCACACATGGTTACGATAATCGACAAATTTAACTCCCAGGTGCTCATGAAACATGATTATTTAACCTTTTTATACTCGTAACATCACGATACTGTGGGAAACTTTCATAACTTAACCCTAGAACGCCTAGGGGGGGGGTTGTATCAACCCCCCCCCTGAGGTTTTTTCAAAGTGCACGCTAAACGGCTTGTCGTAGCGGGCTGAAATTTTCAACACCCTCTGGGGCAACCTTTGCGCATCTTTTGCCGAAAAAAAATTGATCGGGTCATGTCAGGTCACGGAGTTATGACGTCATAAGAGGTACAGCCTCCGGCCGGATTTTCACAAACTGAGTGCCAAAGCCTGAGGTTTCCTGCCGGTGGTACGGACATCGGTTGATGGATCGTGATGAAACTTCCCATGCATGTTGGGGCAAGTATTGGCTATCATATGGTATAAGAAATTTGACCGGGTCAGGTCAGGTCACGGAGCTATGACGTCACAAGAGGAACAGCGTCCGGTACTATTTTTGAAAAGCGCCCGAACCACTATTTTGCTAATTCTTGTCACCTCAATGGGAATATGCAGCAATATTAGCTTCTATAGGGAGCAAATGGACCTCCCAAATCCAAAAATACAATCAGATTTCAAAAATTTAAATTTTGATTTTTCGAATTTCTGCCGCCGACTGTGACCTTGCCGACTTCCGGCGCTCCCAACGCGCCATTTTTAGAGCTAGGGAAACGAAATACATACCAAACGATAGAAAATTGATCAAGGAACACGATAGTGAAGGTTTCAAGTCGAGATCTCCCACCGTTTTGCCGCAATCGCCGCCGAAAGTTGAAAAAAGTCTATTTTTCCGAAAATTTGACCTTTGACCGGTCAAAAGTAGGTCAAATGTTGACCTAGGACCAAAAAATATACCACCAATCGCGAGATCTCGTTGAGAGCAATCCGTTGGTTTTTTCCGCTAAGCTCTACGACCTTCTGTTTCGAAACGCCAAGGGGGGGGTCGTAACAACCCCCCCCCTGGTCGTTCGTGTTATGAGAAATGGCCTGGTCGTGCGAGGGTTAATCACCGTCCGATAAATTTTGAATGGAATGTGGGTTTTTTATTAGTGATAGCGAAACCTCGAACCAGTCCGCCACCTTGTAGGAACTGATCTACCCATAGTCGAAAGAACAGGCATAACCCAAATCGGGCCCAATGCCCGACTATCCACCACTTAGGTATGTTAATTGGTGGTCTCTCTCTCTCTCTCTCTCTCTCTCTCTCTCTCTCTCTCTCTCTCTCTCTCTCTCTCTCTCTCTCTCTCCATCTCACTCATTCACTCATTCTGCTCCTCCATTTCCCGGTTCCTCCACCTTGCCTCTCCACTCTCATGCATATGTCCGTCCATGCGTCAAAGGCATTGACCGAGAATACCTGAGGGTACGGGGCAAATGCGTTGAATGTCTAGGTTGGGCGGTTGGAAAGTCCGCTCCTGACACGCCCTTGCTAGCCCAGGAATTCGAGGCCAATGTCTCCTTGTCACTTCCCTTTTGTTGCATTTGTTTTCCCAACACATCTCTCTATTCTATTCCACTCAGGCAATCCGCTTCTGTCGTTCCCTCGGCCATGTCCCCCCATTCATTCACTCACTTTCAATCCATTGCTCCTTCACCTCAATCATGTCTCCTCATCCCCATATGCTCATTCACCCCAGTCATGGTCTCGTCAGTCCATTCGCTCCCCTCACGTCCTCCTTCCCACGCGTCCGCCGCTCGTCGGTTCTCCCTAGTCATTTAAACTCCCCTCCCCCGGTCATACTCCCAAACCCCGGTCATTGTCCCCGTCCCACACCCGCGCAAACACATTCCCTTCCCAGCCCGAGACCCATCCCTCCCCAGTGCCCGGACAAACACAATCAAACACCTGCCTTATTCCTCCCCAGCCCCGTCCCTCCCCACGACCCACGGCGCGGCGGCCGCCCGCTCCTCGGACGTCGCGGCCGAAACGCCGGCGCGATGCGCCGGCGCGCCCCTCTCTCCTCCTCTCTTTTTCCGACGACACATGGTCGGACCCCGCTCGTCGACCGCGCAATTCCATTGCGCGATTCTCTTACCGCGCGAGTACCTACCTCCTCTCGCGCTCATTCTGCCTAGCTCACGCGGCGCCTTCCGCGCGATGCCTTTCGCACGTCTCCTCGTCGCGCGAGTCCTATCTTCTCGCGCAACCTTCTTTCACTCTCACGCGCGATTCATTTCGCGCGCCTCTCTCTCGCGTTCATCGCACGACTCTATCTCGCGCGACTCTCTATCTCGCACGACTCTCTCGTGCGACTCTCTCTCTCTCTCTCTCTCTCTCTCTCTCTCTCTCTCTCTCTCTCTCTCTCTCTCTCTCTCTCTCTCTCTCTCTCTTTCTCGCGCGACTCTGTCTCGCGCGACTCTCTCGCACGACTCTCTCGTGCGACCCTCTCTTTCTCTTTCTCTTTCTCTCGCGCGCGATCCCTCGTCGCGCGTCTCTCTAGCGCGCGATTCCTGATCGCATGTTCCTCTTTGTCTCTCGCGGCGCGCGGCGCATTCTAATTCTACATTCACATGCCTACACCTATTGATACACATCGAATTCATACCTAACACATCACCCTACTTCCACTACCATTGATTCGCACTCAACATACCACTCAGTATTGTTCACTCCTCGGCAGTCAGCGTCCCATTGCGCCATCCTCCCCTCGGGGAGAATAGCCAATGGCAGCACTGCCACGCTGCCTCATAGATCAGGGGCGAGGTGCCTCCCTCACTCCCAGCACCTTAGAGGCCACCCCTCCGGCGGGTGATCAGCCGGACGGCGGAGGGGAGGGCTGTTTGCCACTGGGTTGAGTCAGGGACCCGCCCGGATCCCAGGCGGCCAGCGCTGAGCATTCATTCACTCCCGTGTCGGTGCGCGAAAAGATCGGAGTAATTTAAATTATCGGTGCCGAAGCTTCAAGGGGCGTCACCTGCCTTTGACAAGGTGAATAACTTGAAGAAGCTTTTGATCGATTTGATTGATTGATTTGATTGATTTGACTGATTTGATTTGATCGCCGGAAGCTTTATCTCACGGTTTAATTACTCATGTCATCTACTCCATGCGCTTATATGATATATATGCTCGTGTGGCAGAGCGCCCCTAAATAAACGTTCCTCGCAATCTGGGTCGAGCCGGCTGTTGCCCCGTCCAGTCTTCAAATCTCCCCTCTACCGACCGGCGCGGCCGGCCAAACGGCGGAGGGTCGACTTGTTTTGATGGTGGTGGGCCAGTGACCCGGCCGAACTCCCACCCTGCCGGTGATAGCACCCTGCGCCCCTCGCTCAGCGGCTCAGGTACGCGGTCCAGTCGGCCCATTTGACGGTCCGACCGACCCAGGTATCCGGTCCAATCGGCCCAGGGGCCAGTCCAGTCGGATCAGGCACCGGTGGCGGTGGGGAGGGTGCGGCCGTGATTACGCACAGTGCGGCGCCGCGCGGCACGCACTTCACTCGGCTAGTCACCGAGTGACGGGATCGGCGCAGTGACGCCGCCCGAGGCGCGGCGCGCCGGCCCATCCTGCCGACCGACTGGGGACGGCGGCACCTGTGGTGCGGGTGATGGGGCCATTGAGCCCTTCCATGTCGGAGGCACAACACCGAGGTGACTGTGCTCAGGCCTGGAGCTTTTCCGACGAAATTAAATGAAGACTCATAACATGAGAACCATTGCAACCGTACCCGACTTAAACTAAAAATCGCTAAAACTGCTGATAGCCAAATTTTAGCTGGCAGACGATACATTGACGGTACCGCGCTGAGTTCCTTCGCCTCAGCTCTGATGCTGCCGTTAAAACAAATAAGTTCTCTGATAAAACCTGGAGCAAATTGTGCATTACGAATCGATGTTCAAAACTTATAGAACGCCACACGCAGTTCGAATGCGAATTTATAAGAATGACACCCGTTTTGGCGTGTCGCTCACTTTGCTAAATATGGCCGGGACACTCATTGAGAATATGAAACCGAACATTTTGTGTGAAGAATGTCCCTTTCTATACGCTAATTGTTGCCGTAAGAGGCGCTTTTTGCTATCAACTTTCCAGGAGGATGATGGCGGCCATGGCGCCGTATATCGATTAATCAGAAGGTTTCGGTGACGCATTGACTGGTTTTGGTTTCAATTATCTCGTTTTGGTCCGTTTCGGAACGATAAGTCTTATCTTCCAAAATTATGGATGTCATGGAGCATGGCCGCAAGATGATGTACTAGTCAATATCAAAGAGCGTTCAGACATCAAAATGACCGCATTGGTTTTGATTCACCCCGGCAACACAAAGCCACTGTCCTCTGTGGTGTGATCGGCAGCAGGCGGCCAGCGACGGGCGAGTCCAATGACTCCGGTGTTGTTATTGCGGATCGGCCTGGTTCGCCGCTGCTCCTTGGCGGCCCTCCGCTCTGCGGGGCGCGGGTTGTCCCGCCCCGAGGCGTTTGGGACCGGCCGTGTGAATGTGGCGGCTCTCGCCTTCGGTCGGGTGGGTGGCCTACCCGTGGCGACCGGCTCGATCCCATGGCCGGCGGCGCGATCCCATCACGATGGGAATGCGTCCCTTCTCTGGGACGGTCGGGGAGGGCCCTGCCGCGGACCGCCACCCCCTTGCGCGGGCGGCGCGGTGACCGAACCATAATTGCTCGGGTCGGCGGCGCTGGCCCGGCGCTGACAGGTGCGCGTGGTGTGGGAGCACAGGGGTCGGATCCAACCCGTCTGCTTGAGCAGGTGGATATCGGCAATCTGGCGGATCCGATTTGCCCTCGGGCCAATGATGGTGAAGCCTAAGCCGGGCACCCACACACCGCTCAGGAATATGATATGATATGAAATACAACACGTGCTTCACAGTAAATTAACCCGTACTGCACAACAACATGCATTGTACAACACGCGAGAACTG